GGGGCGGATCACTCAGGGAAGAGTGGGGGAGGCCGAAGCCATTGTCCGAGACGCTGCCCGGAAGAACAAAGTTGAGGCGCCGCTTGTTATCTTCAGAGGATCCGAGGTGGAGTTTCCGCGTGCCATTTCATAAGTAGCGTTTACGCTAAGTTTCTTCAAAATTGCCACGTCGGATAAGAATGGGAGAGCAAAGATGGTGACAAGTACCGCTTACACATCGGAGAAAGTGGGAAGTGTCACATAACAGCGGCATGGGCAAAAAGGTGGCTTGGAAGACAAGTGTCGACAATGCCGGTTGATGTATTTCGGATTTTCCTTGCCTCTCCAGTCACTGCCGCCGGGCAAGACGTACACCATGCTTGACGTCCTGAGATCCAAGAACGTGAGATGCATCACGCTGATGTGTCTTGTTCTGTGGTGAGCACCATCACAAATAAATCACTGGGAACTTCGTTGCGCAAGCTGCTGAATGTTCCATCTTTGATCCCAAACAGGATGGCCATCAACGTGGGCTATTTTGGTTTATCCCTGAACACTTCCAACCTCAGCGGCGATCCCTTCATGAACTGCTTCTTGTCGGCAACCACCGAGGTCCCCGCCTACATTGTGTCCACGTGGCTCCTCAAGAAATGTCCCAGAAGGGCTTTACTTTCCACTTTTCTGGCCATCGGTGGAGGAGTCCTGCTGCTCATCCAGTTCATACCGCCGAGTAAGTCCGATCAAATGTCTGTCATGCGGGGTGAGCCGCAGGCCGACTCGCATGTGCCACTCGTGGACCTTTCTTGAAATGTCTCTGTTGTGTGAATCCGCAAGCTGGATGGTTCCAGTGGGATATAATTACGCCACCCGAAGCTTTAAGCTCATATATTGTCAGCCCCTCGGACATGTAGGCGTGTGCAGGCACAAGAAAAAATGTTTGGTATTCGATTGACAGTTAACAGTCGAGCAGTGGGTTCATTGTAAAGCCTCATTTGATATACTTGGCAATATTTTTGAATCCTTCTCCGGTGTCTGACATGGTGTCGAGGTGTATTTATTTTCACTTTACAGTGAGTTAAAGATGGGTGTTTCGTTTTATTTATTTATTTTTTTTTATTAATGATATTTGGACATTTTTTCACCCACAGCTTTGGGGTAATAATTTGGGGGATTCTGGGTCTCTCTCTGTGTCTCTTTCTCTCTCTCCCAGGGCTTGAGTATGCGGCCTTAGCTCTGGAAATGACCGGAAAATTTGGCTTCACCATGGCCTTCGGCATCGTCTACATCTACACGGCAGAGCTCTACCCCACCGTGCTCAGGAACCTCGGCATGGGAATATGCTCGTCGGCCGCTCGCATCGGAAGCATCACGGCTCCCTATGTCATCTATTTAGGCACGTTGTGTTATCATGCGCCTGTAATTTTATTTTTATTTTTAGCTTTCTTGTGTTATTTATTTATTTTTTTTCAATGCTTATTTCGTATTTTCCACTTGCAGGCACTTACAACAAAGCGTTGCCATACATGCTCATGGGAAGTCTCACCATCGGATCCTGCGTGGTCAACATCTTCCTTCCGGAGACCTTGAACAGAGACCTTCCGGAAACTCTGGAAGAGATGCAGGAATGGCAAGGGTACGGCTCATCTGCGAAAGAAACAAAAGATGTCATGTTTAGAGACGATCCTCACTCCGCTGTCTGTCTAGGTGGTGCTGTGGAACCAAAATCAAGAACTACGCGGAAAACGGAGGAAGTGGACACCCGCAAAACCAAACCTGAGCCAAAAATAAACTGCACAGTCTTACTGTGTAGCTTCCCAAGTAGCATTTATTCACTTGGTGTGTCAGAAACTAAGGTTAACTTTTGAAATCTGAATTTTTTTTTTTTTTTTTGGAGTAAGTTGGGGCTGCTCATTGGGATTTTGATGATTATTTGTTCGAGCTTTCCATTTGTGTTTGACGTCAAAACGCATGGAAACCTTACTGGTCTTTACTTTACATCAGGAGTGTCAAACTCAATTTTGTCGCGGGCCACATTGTAGTTACCATTTCCCTTGGAGGGCCGTTATGATGTGTTAATAAGTCAAGAATAATGGTTTATTCAACTATTGTTTAAGTAACTCCAATGAGGGGTTTACTAAGATTAAGATATCCTATCATGGAAGTTGTCATCTTTCATTTGCTTTCGCGGGCCACATAAAATAATGTGGCGGGCCAGATTTGTCCCCCGGGCCTTGAGTTTGACACCCGTGCTTAACATGGACATCAAGCGAAAGCGCAAAAATCTCAACTGTTTTTGGCCAGTACCAAGGTATCAAGACGATATCCGGCCACAAGATGATTTCACCGTCAAAATCCTACACGGTGGTTGCGGTCTGCGGTGGCGTACAAGTGCGATGGATCCGAATGCGAGCTCAGCTATCTGTCACAAGCTCGTGCAGGCCTACCTAAAAACATCAAAAGTGAAAGACATCGTTGCTCGGGCCTGCGCGGACATGACGTTGCATGCACAATCAGCAACACTGAGTCAATGATCATCAAAAGAGAATGCGGGTTTACCGTTAATTATTCATGATTGAACCTGAAAGGCAAACCCAGCCGAATGATTGAACTGCCAGATTAAAGTGAAGTGATTCGTAATTTGATGGCCAATCTTGTCAACCTTTGGTTCAAATTGCCGATATTTGTTTTGATTTCTGGAGCACCATTTAAGGTTAGACTACTTACTACGTGTGGAACATGCAAATGTCCTCTGATTGTTCTGTTATCTCGGACGAGTGCAAAGTTGAAGCTTGTCGTCTTGGCATAAAACATTGTCCCGTGAGACATACAGAAACAATAAACCACAATGAACCCAAAGAACTCCACTGCTGCACCTCATCACAATTGTGTTGTGGGTGGGGGGGGGGGGGGGGGTGTCTAGAATCACAAATTTGTCGGACTTGAAAAAGCAATTTCTGACAGTGTGTCCAGGTGACGCGTTAATGATTAACACGTTATCCAAGAGGTGATCCAGGGCCAATTCGCTCAAGATAGAGGTATTTTCTTCCCGTCTAAGTCGCGAGTGCATATTTGACAGTTACTGTGTAACCACCCCTGACAGATCGGTCCATCTTCATTTCTTTTCTCGATTGTTCATTTGTTTCGCGGCGAGTTTAATCAATGGCTGACTTGAAACTGCGAGACTACGACAGCATCACATCCTTTCTGGGACCGTGGGGTGCCTTTCAGCGGCGGATTTTCTTCGCCTTGGCCATCAGCATCTACCCCAATGGCTTCATTGGCATCTACATCGTATTTGTCGCCGACACGCCGTCTCACCAATGCCGCATCCCTGAGGATGCCAACATCAGCCAGGCGTGGAGGAACGTGACGATCCCCATGGAGATGGTGGATGGCATGGCGAAGCCCGGGTCTTGCGCCAGGCTCAACCTGGAGATGGTCAAGAACTACTCCCAGAACGGCGTGGTCCCTAACTTCGGGGTTGATGTGGCCAGCATTCCTCTAGAAGCCTGCTTAGATGGGTGGACATACAGCAAAGACATCTACCAGTCGACCATTGTCACTGAGGTGAGCCAAAAAAGCTTCACTCTGCCTCTTTTGAGGATTTTCTTTTTTTTTTTGGGGGGGGGGGCAGGTCTTTAGTTGTTTAACGCTATCTTTGAAAAAAAAAATTGTCAAATGTTGGTGTATCTATTGTTATTCTATTGTTCAGTGGATACGTGAGAAGACGGAGATTTGGAAAGTGGGAGTTTCCCAAAAGCTCCGGGGACCCAACAAAAAATAAAGTAAATAATGCTTGCAAAAAGGCTAAAAACATGTGAGATGGAGACCTGCAAGATCAATAAGCAGAAAGGGACAATTTTTCTGTGGAGAGATTCTCAGCCATCCAAGTAATCCGCAAAAGTTGAATTGAGGCAACTGAACTCTTCTTGGTCAAAAAGGCTTCTTCGGTTCCAAATAGAAGTGACATGAGATAATGTTGCACATTTCCACATAAATGCTGAACGTCTGGATAGTCCAGTTTTACAAAGAACCATGTTTCCATGTTAACGAGATGCAAAAAAAAACGTTTTTGGAATTTTGGAAAAATTCCCGTGTTGTTTTGGAAATGGCCGAAGTGCGTTCGTTGTTGGAGTCCACTTGCATTGGGGGCCAAGGGGGTCAGTGAGCCACCAGTTTCATCAGATTGAGCATGCGTGTGATAGTTCCACTTTGTAATCGACCGACCGGAACAGTGTTAAGGAGTCAGCAGATCATTTCGACGACTTTTCAACACTGGCAAAGTTCAATTTCTTTGACATGTGCTCCTTTTCTTCACAGTGGGATCTAGTTTGTGAGAATGCACACAAAATCCCGTTGTCGTCCTCCATCCACTACCTGGGCGTACTGGTGGGGGCGTTTATTTCGGGCCAGGTGTCGGACAGGTGAGCAAAACTGCCATGTTTGCAGGTGAAGATGCATTCATGTGTTGAAGATTACCAGGTATTTTCTGTGTTTGGTCTACACAGATACGGAAGGAAGCCAGCGCTGTTCACCATGATGGTCCTCCAGACAGTGGCCATCACGGCGCAGTTATTCTCAAACAGTTGGGAGATTTTCACCTTCACCTTTTTCTTGGCGGGTGCTGGCGGCTTCTCCAATTACATCATCGCTTTTGTGCTGGGTATGTTTTGGAGACGGCTTTGATGCTTTTTGATTTAAAAGAAGACACGTTGTGCACTTTGTGGGGACTGAGACTCTCTGCGAAACAGGAGATGATCACCCTGAAGCTTGACTGTCTTAACTCCACCATAACACCACACCATTAAGGGCGCGCCCATAAAGAGTTAATCATCATCAAGCTGGCAAATTACGTTGTCAGCAAGCGTACTGGTAGCAGATTGTAGAATGCAGCCGTTGCCTGAAAGTGGATCTAGATCTTGGGCCAGGCTTCCAAGTGACGGTTGGTGAAATTAGGTGTGGGGGTGGTATCATGTAAATGAGCCAAACTCTTACATGGTTGCGGAGAGCAGATTCATAACATGTTGATCACAGAAACATTTTTTGGAAAGAAAAAATATTCACTTGGCGGTTTAATTTCACAGTTGTTGGGTCGCCCGGCACTGATTTGCTTTGGCGATTTATTTATTAATTTTTTTGCTATGCTAGCACTGTATTAGCCACTTCTCTCTTTTTTTTTAATTAATTAATTTTTTTGCGTCTTTTCTTATTAGGAACAGAAATTCTGAGCCCCAAAGCCCGCGTGGTCTTCTGCTCCCTGGGGGTTTTCATGAGCTCGGCCATAGGATACATGCTCATGCCCCCCGTGGCATACTTCCTACGCTCTTGGCGGCTACTGCTGATCCCCATGGCCGCCAGCGGACTGATATATATACCCCTGTGGTGGTAAGGGCGTGCAAAGGTGACCTGATGACGTAGCCTTCCACTGTGACGTAATACCCTTTCGCCGATGTCGACCGTTTTTGCAAGGTTCATACCCGAGTCGCCACGCTGGCTGCTCTCCCAGGGCCGAGTGGGGGAGGCTGAGACGATCCTGAAGGACGCTGCCAGGATGAACAAGGTTGCCATGCCGGAGGCCATTTTCACAGAGGCGGAGGTTAGACTTGAATGGTCTGTTTCAAAATATACACTGGTCACAAAAAGCTATGGTTATCGGGATTTTGGGCAGTCAAAAGTGAGGCTGAACTTAACATGCACTTGTTGTGAATGTTGTTGTCCTTTTCGAGAATAGCAACACTTGTGCAAAAAAAGTGCTGAAACATTGAATAAGTGGACATGTGCATTTAGAGAAGGTGAGATTAAATCCACCCGGAAAGGTTGTAATGCGTTTTAGGCTTCTGTACTTTAATCAGAAAAACAATTCAAAAGTACGCACCTCTGGAGTTGTTCAAGTCCCATATTTTATTCCAGATTGAAGATGCGACGCTGATGAAAGACAAGAAATACAACATTAGCTCGATCCTGCGCAGCTGCAACATATTCACCATCACCCTGCTGTGTTCAATTCTGTGGTATGCCCTTTTTCTTTTGTCCATTCTGACTATACCTGGCAAATGTTTAGGAAAGTCTGGCAAAGGTAGATCACAGCAAGCACATTTATAGGACATGCAGCAGGCACAATTCTTGATCCTTGCGGAACTCCAACCAAAGCTTGTCAGAGACGCGACCTTGCGCTGCGTGGAAAAAATGAACAGACTTAAATATAAACCTTTAGCGTCGATTATTAATAATTACTCAGGAGATTCAAACTCGGTTAAAGGCAAGAGGTGACTCGATCGGGATGATTGAGCTACTATTTTTCAGTTTTAAAAGCCATTTTCATAGTTAAAGAAATGTGACTTTCCAATCGCGTGTGCAGCAGTCTCTCGACGATTTACGAATCGCGATTCGCAAACGACGACTACTTGCACGTTTTACTCTAGAAAGTAACTGTTGCGTAAATCAACCGTGAAGTAACGTGGAATTGATTTCGAAACAGACCGATTGTAAAACACCTAGCACCTACTCATCCTTTCATCCTGAAATTTAATCCTGAACTTTAGCAGTAGTATATAACGTTACATACTGGGCGCCACAGGTTCGTCATCACCATCAGCTACTACGCTCTGATCCTCAACACGTCCAACCTTCACGGCGACCCGTACCTCAACTGCTTCTTGTCAGCGGTGACGGAGGTTCCGGCATACCTGATCGCCCTGCTGCTGCTGCACTTTTGCTACCGCCGCCTGTGCCAGTCGTCTACGTTGCTGATGGGTGGCGTCATGATCCTGTGCGTGCACCTCATTCCCATAGGTAACGGCATCGCAACAATTCGAAGCGTGCCGATATGCGAAATGCGATTAACGAATTTAAAGTGTACCACCGGCGCTGCATTTCAAAGTGTGGATGAAGAAAAAGGGAGCAACAGTGTCAAGTTTGACAAACAACCGGTGTTCCCATTTTGTTTAGGAATAAAGTTGAGTTGTATTACGAATGCCATTCTGTGTGGCTGTGTTGTCAGATCTGCAGTGGGTGGCCGTGCTGCTCGAGATGCTGGGCAAATTCGGCGTGACGTCAGCCTTTTGCATTGTGTACGCCGTCTCATCCGAGCTCTTCCCCACCGTCATTCGGAACACGGCCATGGGCTGCTGCTCGATGGCGGCTCGTGTCGGGACGATCATCTCGCCTTTCATCATCTACCTCGGTATGTACAGTGTTAACCCACCCATTATTTCCATGGTAGCAAATAAACCGAAGTGAAAGAAAATGTGGATTTCTCCTCCAATAGGACAATATTATAAGGCCCTGCCATATATTTTGATGGGATCTTTGGCCATTTCTGGGGCCTTCCTCTGTCTCCTGCTGCCGGAGTCATTTGGAAAGCCCTTGCCGGAGACCCTAACGCAAATGCAGACTATATGCAGGTGAGTTTTGAGTACTGATCCCATGCAGGACATTGAAATCTAACTTTTTTTTTTTTTACTATTTTCACAGACGAAAAGGTCAAGACAAAAAGGAAGCTGATACGCAGGATTATCAGAGTAAAGAATCCAAGTTTTAGTGAATCAATTAACACCGGGATCTGGATTTTTCACCTGTATTTTTGGACCCTATATTATGACCTCCCCCAAGCTCAAAGCAAAGATTTGCTTTTGCCCGTTTTGACAAAGAGAGGTTATTGTCAAGGGTGGTTGGGCTCTTGATTGATTGAGATTTGTGAATTTTGTACGGTGGAAAAAATGGGAATACAACGTGAGCAACACACATGTTGATAGCATGTCCAGATATTTTTGCAAGTTGATAAAAATAAAATTAAAAGGGTATTATACCGTGTGTGTGTGTGTGTGTGTGTGTGTGTGTGTGTGAACGAAAGCCAAAAAAGGAAATACGAGGAGTAACTTTACTTTAAAATGGCCGCCGCAGGGTAATCTGAAATCAGTTCGTCGCTATGATGGGGCCAAGTAGTTTGCTTTTATGTGTACGTTTATCTTTTTGTGCCCAATTATGTACTATATAAAATTAAAATTTGTAGTCGAACGGCTATTGGAGGAGATTCGTTATTTATATGAGGCTGTTATGGTCTACCTTTTTCACTCCAAGGAACGCCATCCATTTGGCGACCCGCCGGCTTGGGTTTTATAAGCTTGTTTCTGGAGAAAATGGACTTCCAGTGCCACTTTTGTGAAAAAAAATACATCAAGTTTACTGGCTTGTTGGTTGGAAGTGAGCCAGAACCATGGTTGATCCGACGTAGAAATTACCATCTTCCGGCTGACTGACCGTCCATTTACATTGTAAGAACTCATTCAATTTGTATTATATCGTTGTTGTTTTTTTCGAAGTTAGCTGTGTTGAATTAAAACTCGATAAGACTAAACTAATGAGGATAAGAAGTTAACAAATTGGATGGTTGGCTCATTGATACAAAAGGTACGCAGCGTTTTTTTTCGGTTTGTTAACATTCTTCGCTATCGCTACTCATCTGTCAATCACCGCCCTCCCTCGCTGTGATTGGCTACAGCTTGAAAACAATGTTTTGTTATTGTTACCGCCCATGTCGTGAAATGTTGATGTATCAAAGTTGAATGTTTATATTTGTTGTTTGTGCATTGGTGTGTGTGTGTGTGTGTGTTTGTGTGTGTGTGTGTGTGTGTGTGTGTGTGTGTGCATACGACGCCGTGTCGTAAAAGAAAACATTTTAGGTTGAGTTGGAGGTTAAAGCTGTTGTATTATTATGCCGTGACACTGTATTGACGCATAACTTGATTTTAAGTCACTGTCCTAGTTCAGTACCTGTACAGTGTTTTTGTTTTAAATAGTTGTTTTGTCACAATCAGCCGCTAGATGTCATCAAAAAACAAGTCCATAAACAACTAATTGTCCACTCCGGTAGCTGAGAAATCTAAACTAAATCATAAGAGGAATAAAACAAAATAGTCATACACGTGAAACAATACCAAAACTTAATCCTGCATACTGCTTGTCTATCTGTCTGTGTCCACCTATCAATCGTTGTTGCCTTCAGTAATAATCGGAAATAGCAGTTCTCGCAGACTGATGCACAAACAAACTTGGGTGTTCCATTTAGGTCCAGTGTAAAAATCATACTTTTCCTGACACAATTGATTTACTAACTAAATAGCTGAAGTTGCTTGTTGCCTTCAGGGGCAGTCTGCAAGCATCAATTTCTTTACTCAATTGATCTTCTATTCCGCTGTGTCCTTAATGTACAGTCTGAAATTGTAACTTTGTTTTTCTAATAACAACTCTGTCAAAGTTGGATATTGCCTTTCGGGATAATCTGAAATCATAAATTTCCCGCCACGATCTGTTTGGCTCTCTGAGGTGTTGCCTTCCGTGACAGTATGGGATCTCACTTTTTTTTTTTTCCACACAGTAATGGTTTGCTCACAAAATTATCTGTCTATCCGCCCGTCCATTCTTTTCAGTTGGATATTCCAGGGGCAGTCTGAAGCCTCAACTTTATTCCTGCAACGAATCTTAACGAATATTAATCCATCTTTCTCTGATTGCACGTTCAGGTGTGAAACGCTGTAACTGGAATAACCCTTTAGATGGCGCCATAGTACTAAGAAAAGAGAATGTCCTACTTAATCTAAAAGGAATGTGGTTCAAGGAAGTGTCTCTTGGCAGCCTCCCGTGAGGTATCAACAACTCTAAAGTCGCATTTCTATGTGCTTTGAATGTTTTTCTTTTTTTTTGCACCTTATCTGGTGCATGCTCAGCAGTGTGCTTGTGTAGATTGCTGCAAGGGTACTGATAAACTATTAAAATGAACCCTGGCTGCCAAAATTAAACAGCAAAAAAAGATGGTGGCCTCAGGAACCCTTTTTTGTGTTTGTGATTTTCCGATCAACTTTGTCACGCAAACATTCCCTGATGCCGTTTAGGCGTGAAGGCTGCTGCTGAGCGAGGCCCGTATGCGTGTCACAATCCCGCCATGCAAATATTTGCCTCAGCACACAGTCATTTTTTTGTTTGTCGAAAATGGGATTATAAAGCCGAGTAGGTGTGTTTGATTTGTTTGTATTTCTGTATCAACCACCTGTGATCCTGTGACCTCGCTTTTAGAAAAAAGTCCATTGTGAGCCTCTTCGGAATTGAGATTGAATGAATACACTTCAAAACAAAAGTGCACGACATTATCTAATGGCAGCCTTTGTGAAGACAAGTATCTGCTGTTTGTTTATTATTGTGGTTGTAGATTTGTTTGTAATATTGTTTTGCCTCCCCCCCACCCCTTCTTCTTGGGCCAATGAGGTCAGGGATGCAGTGCAGAGGCTACAATTTTTGAATATATATATATATATATATATATATATATATATATATGAAAAATACTTATACAATATCATTTAAATACTTAAATAAAAAACTACATATAATGTACTTGTAAATAAGTAAATACAGACATATCACCAAATGTGTTTTTCAATGAATAAATAGGGTTTTCTAAGTTTTGATTGAAAAAAGTGTGTGTGTGTGTGTGTGTGTGTGTGTGTGTGTGTGTGTGTGTGTGTGTGTGTGTGTGTGTGTGTGTGAGAGAGTGTGTGTGTGTGTTTTGCCTGCAGACTAAAAAAAAAAAACAGCTCAGTGGCAGATATGAGCCAATGACCCACAGTCGGATTTCCCAGCTCGAGGGAGCATTTCTTTGGAAATGGCTTTGGCGTTCTTGCTCTCGGGCGCCTCCTTCTGGACAATATAATTACTGTCTATCGCAAGTCATGTGACTTCTCCGAACTCGACTGCAGCCTGAACCTTGCAAAATGCTGTCCAACCCGACTCTGTTACGTTTCGCATTCCCGACCCACCAGTGAGAGAAGATAGATGATGGTTGTTTAATAATGTCATAAAATGGCTCCTAAACTTACAGAGTCATGCTGAAAAAAAACATATTTGGCGTCTGTAAACTGGTTCGACAGGTTGCCGTCCTGTCTTCTTTATTTAAAAAGCAAATGTTTTTGTTGAGGCTGTTACCAGCTTGCTCTCTGGCACGCCTTGGGTTGATTGCCCAGCGAGACAAGGCAGGAAGAAAAAAAAAACCTTCGCCATCCTGTTTGAGCTGCAAACAGGCTCTGACCTGGTTCACAGGGCCAGATATGACCGCCTAGTGAATATTTATTATTATTATTATTATTATTATTATTTTGTACAGTATATCCAAGGTTAATTTTTATAATCTCTCAGTATCTATTATATAAAACCCCACTTAATAAATCTGCTATTTTGTTTTGATTTTCAGATGTGTAACGTGTGTAGATTATTTGAAAAAGTACGAGCACTAGATGGTGGCAAACATTTTTGACATCACGCAAGAGTGTGAGCAGATAGTGAATGACTGTTCAATTAAAGAGGCTTCAAGTTTTTCATTGCCACTCCCAGTTGAAGTTTACTTTCCAACTAAACATAAAACAAAGACAATTACACTTTGTGTGTTGAACCAAACCGCTTGTTTTGAAAGTTTGCTAGCTTAATGCTATCACACATCGTAAAACACTATGAGTGAGCTAACGAGACTAGCGTCAACGCAGTCGTGCGTCGTCGTATTTTTGGAGCAGTGCAATAATGTCCTTCAATTATAATGACCTCAAATTTTTATCTGCAGCAGTAGCCATTTCATAATCACTTTTATGAACATGACAACGCAACATGGGAACCTGACCTACTTTATGTGTGTGTGTTTGTACTGTATTTACGACAGATTTGGGGGCGGAAGTTCGCTCTCTACATGAGTGCCATTCAACTCGTAAATATTGCTGTGTGGGAGTGTGCGCGCGTGTTGTCGGCTGCTTGAACAATTTACTTCCTGCGATAAACCGCAGTGCGACCCCCATACTCAGAAGATCGTATAGAGTCCAGCAATACAAAGCTGTGTTTTTTTGTCACTGTAATTGGATGGAGCATTCGTGAATCCCTTGATATTCGAGTATTCCCAAAGTTAGTAAGCCAGAAGCTGCTGGGACCTTCTCTTCATGTTTGTAAGCACTGAGGCAGCAGGCCATTTTTAGAAGCAACCCCCCTCCCACCCCTCTCAGGAAGGAAGCGAATAACAGACTAAATCTGCAGTTGTTTTTTTTTTTTGTTTTTTTTATACATTTACAGTCAACCCTCTTTAATAGTCGGCTGAGGAATCAAGCCCCGATGCGAATGGGAAAAATCAACAAAGAAATAAATGGCTGACTTTGACTGATCATTACATTTACACTTCTGAAGCGATAGCAGAGTTCATCATTTACACCCCTGCTGTGCACCATGAATTTTTTGGGGGCGGGGGAGGGTTTTGCGATAGTTTTTTGTGTTTTTATTAGGGGCGAACAATTTTGAAAAATAAACAAATTCATGCCTCTCAAAGGCACATGATACAATGGATATAAAAAGTCGACACACCCCTGTTCAAATATTTGGGATTTGTGAGGTACTCGATAAAAATGTGACCAAGACAAGCAACTTCAAAACATTTCCCATCATTCATGTGACCTATAACCTGCACAACTATGCGGTATATATTTTCGAGAGGGGAAGTAAAAATAAATGTCGTTGCACAAATGTGCACACCCACTTATAACTGCGGCCGTGGCCATGTCCAGAATCAATTAATCCCATTCAGACTCCTGCTACGTTGCACACAGACATGTATCAACAGCATTTTATGCCGAAGTTTGTTTGTTGTGCTTGTGTAGTTTTCATGACTCACTGTGTTCAAGATGATGTAACGTTACACAAACCTAAAGACTCACATTACCCAACCGAGTAGTGGGCTGGCACGATGTTGTACTTCCTATCACCCCCCACCCCCACCCCCCTCCCAAAGCCAGGCACCCCACCAGAAAGCGCTGTTCACTCCCTTCACCGTTGTGTGTGCGTGTTTGTGTGTGTGTCTTCATTCTAGCATGGCTTTCTTGATAAGGGCAAATAAAAGGTGGGGGTGAATTGCAGCCATCACACAATTGTGTACGTGTGTGCCCGCGTGCGTGCGTGCGCGTGCATATGTGTGGCCTCCCATATTTCTTGTCCCATGCAGCTGCTTAGGCCGTTCCGCTAAATCACCTGACTTTCTGTAACTGCTCCCTCCCCTTGGCTTCTTCTTCTCTCTCTTTCTCTCTCTCTCTCTCTGTTACACACACACACACACACACACACATAAAAAAGCAGATCATTTCTGTCTCACACACACACATACACACCTGCACGTAGCGTGTTTGCCATGCAGGCAACCTTGTCTGCATATGACATCACACATAGAGAATGGCGCACTATTGTTTGTCTTGGCAAGACCAGAATGCTTAAAAAACACAGAATGGTTCCTGACGTTTTGAATTGATTTGTGTCCATTCTTGACACTGTCAATCTGAAATAATGTCATGTTTTCGAATAGAGGGACGCAACATGGTTTTTCTTTGTTTTTGTTTTTTTTTAATCCGATGAATCGACAAAATACCCAATGGATGAATCGATTATTCAAATAGTTGCGAGTTGCCCTATTAAGAATGTAGTAAAAAGTGTTTTACGAGAATTCAGGATGAATTGATACCAAAAAACATAATGCAGTGCAATTTTCTGCTCTAAGAATTTAGTTTGAATTTTCATAAGAATTTTGTAAAAAAAAAAAAATTCCGGCAAAAAGTAGAGCCATATAATTAGCTGTGTTTTCCGAAAAAATTTTAAGATTAGATGTACTCTAAATAAATTTAAAATTGAACTTTCATTTATTTTTATTTTTTTTAAGGTTTGCATAAAAAGAATTGCAAACCTATTTGCTGTGTTCTCCGTAGAATTTTGTAAGGCATTCATACAAAAAAATAATGCTTTGTCATTTACGGTTCTCACAAGAGTTTAGTACAAATTTGTACGCATTCGGACAATCCTCATGAGAATTTTGTCAAAATTCAGACAAAAAGTGAAGTAACGTCATTCATAATTTTTTTTCTTCATCTGTACAAAAAATAGAAAAGGTCACATCATAGAAAACTGCATCTCAGATGATTTCGTGATTTTTGTGTTGTTGTTGCAGACTCTCCAAAATTTTTGAAGAGGGTCATCGATATTTTCCCATGAGAACTGGCCGGGGGGAAGCTTGCCGTCACAACGCCTCGCACGAGCTCTTGTGTCGCCGTGCCCTCTCCACAGCAGCTTTGCACATTTCCTGTAATGCAGCTGACCCCTCTCGCCGCTCACACCCACGCAGCCTTACGAAACACCCACGTAAATCTTGGCAGTAGCCGCGAGCGCTTCGCTGTTAAAGTTGCTGTTTCTGGAGCGTCACCTTGAGACACCTGATCGCCTGCGGGTACTCTTCCCTGGCCTCCGTGAAGTTTCTGGGCGTGACCGCCCTCGAAACAGGATGGCCGTTGACGAGGTGACTCATTAAACTGCGCCAGAGTATGCCAGGATTCTCACCAGGACTTTTTTTTTCCACTACACCCCATTCAAGTTCTGGCTTTCTGCAACCCTTATTTTGGCGCGGCACGATAGTCGTCAAACTGCTCCTGTGCCGCACACGTTGCTCGTAAAGATAAATTAAGAAAATTATTTTGCCGGGCGAGGCGAGAATCTTGCGGGCAGGCTTTGGTGTGCGTCACAGTGACCCATCAGAGCTTGCGGTCAAGTTAATGTGCAACCACTCACAAATGCTTTGCATCAATAAAGCTTCAGCTCGTCACGTAGCATCAAACGACCGCCATTTTAGTCCTTTTTTTTTTTCTTTTTTTTTTTTGCATGATGTAACACATTTGTCTGTGGCTTTTATTTCCTACAAAGAAGACAAAACTGTTGTCACTTATAAAGTAAAGCGGAGCCTTGAGATACGTGTGACCAGACTTAAGAGTTTTTCAAGAAATGACACGAAACAGAGAACACACATCCCTTTGCCTGTAGTCCACTAGCTAAATGCTAATGCTAACACATCATGTAAAAATGTATTGATGGCCCTTTCATATATGAATGACACATTTTTACAGGATACAGTACCCACGGTCATATATACTTTATCCTCTGCGAAGAGCTGGAGTGGGGGGGCTAACAAGCTGAGGGGGTCTCAAGGTCTCAGAAAAAAAAATCTTGACATGTACAGTACGAAGCTCTTTTAGGCGACTTTATTTAATTAAGCTGCAAGGTTGCTGATTTGGATCGAGAACTCGAACGGGATTTTGCACATTGCTCTCCGTTGGCCCCACCAGCATCGCTTCCTGTCGCGGGTGTCAGAAAAAGTGCAGGCGGTGACCTCTCGTCGCCACATCCGTACTTATCTCCGATTGTATTTGCTGAGCATTTGTTCCATTTGAACTTAACGCGTGTGGACGATTAAGCACGTCGACGCTTGGATTCATCTGCAAATGCAACGGAGCTCTTTCCGCGTCTCCTCATCTGAGGTCATTGAATCTAAAAATAAATACAGTAAATCGACACATTTGGTCGTTGAGCATACACCAGGAAATGCCAGGATGCTGACTTTGTCGAGTGGGGAAAAGGAGGAGCGGGGAACTGTGTTTGGGATGGAATTCAAATGTTTCACAATACTGTAGTGAAAAAAAAAACAAAACCAAAAAAAAAAAAAGAAGAAGTAAGCCGACTGGTGTAATCATGTCGATATTGTGCGCGTGGAAAGCACCAAAAACCTTTGCTCTTCTTCTTCACTTCTTTATTTTTAGATGAGGCCACTGTAAGCACTCGACAGTAATTACTCACTCAATTAGAGTGGGAACGGCTTTCACACTTCAGAATGCTATTGGATGAAAAATTGCAGGCAGGAAATTAAAAAAAAAAAAAACAAAACGATAAGATTCAGATTCACCCATTCCTCCAACAATAAATGTAGTGATTATTCACTTGTTAGAAGATGGTAATTGTTTGTTGCAAGCCTTGAAATAATATAAAAATATTATATAAGGTGAATGTTTCAAAAAAAAATGCAACATTTCAAGGCTCGGTTAATAAATATTGGAGGACAAAAAAACACAAAAGAAAGTGATGTGGAAATATTAGACATAAATAGGAGAACTGCTGGGTGAAGAATGGATCATATCAGTCAAAAAAAAACCCAAAAAAAAACGCTGACTCGAGGGGGAAGCACGATGTGATCTTCACACTGTCCACAAGGAAAGCACCAAAAACAATTGCTCTTCTTCTTCACGTGTTTAATTTTACACGAGGCTTGGCTCATCATGGAAAACATCCAAAGGAAGAAAAAAAAAATGTCCAGCCGCGCAAAATAACATTGGAGAAGAAATACAAAATATTAGAAAGTGCACAAACACACGAGGCAAAAATACAAAAATAGCTCTTGATTTCCTTTTGTAGTTTGGTCGGTTTTGGCATGACTGGATGAGGAAACGTCGAAACGTCCTTTGTTCTAGAGACACGGTTGTCTTTTTTTCTTTGCCTCTATGTTATGTAAGTATTTTGTTTTCTCTTTTTTTTTTTTTTTTTTTTACGACAGGGAAACTATCTGAATGTGCCCACAGCGATTCCAGGTGACGTGAGAAAAGGAGAGGAGGGTAAAGGTGAGCTGAGACACACAAAAAAAAAAATTGTCATTGATTCACTGATTTTAAAACCTTTTTTTTTTTTTTTTTAAATTTTCATGTGCAATTGTTGTCACGTATTTCAACTGGACAGCGTTCCCAATGCTAAGTTTCACGTTTTTTTTCCCCCGGACGGTGACATACCGCTCACGTACGTCCATTTGCGTCCTTGTAGTTTCTAAAACATCATTTACGTTCCATGTGTATTATCAATAAAGAACAAAACAAAACATACTCTTCACGTGTATTTGTTTTTTTTTTTTATTAGAAAAAAAACAGACAACAGACAAATATATACATGTACATTTACAACTGTTTGGAAACGTGTACGTTTGGGATTATTGAGCTAAAGTAAAATGCTTGGCTAGCACCGTCACAACAAATGTGATCTCATTCTCCATAATAACGGCTGCTGTATGTAAGATAAAGTGGGTGAAAACTGCTCCGAGGACAGACTGACCTGGCGACACTCTCAGAAACGGAGGCGGGGTTTCGACTTTTAGTCAACCTCCGTCCCTTTATGTCAAAGTTCCTTCAGACGTCGCACGTGGAGAAATCGAGAGTTAGAATAGCTCAAGGTGGAAGCAGCATAAAGAGTCAGAGAGCTTCGTGTGGCTAGACGACGCAAAACCACATTTTGGTGCACCGACGACACCGGCGTCCTACCAACGCAACGTATTTATTTTTATTTTAAAAATAAAACAATTCCTGAGAGTGTTCTCCGGTTTGTTTATGAGTTGGCGAGGGTCAGGGCAGGACGGGGAGGATTCACATCAACGACGAGAGGCCCATAAAGTCCAATGAGTGACCATTGTCCAGTCCCGAACAAAAGCCACTGAATCCGGGGACGTGAAGGTCGCTCCAGGGGTTGTCCGCCGGCATGTTGAAGTCTGAGCTCAGCGTGGTGTAATGAGGCGCCAGCGACATTTCGTCCCCGTCGTCCGCTGTTCAAACAAGAGGGGGCGCACATTCACGACCTTGAAGGACACATTCATAACCACAAGAGTTCTAACTCAGAGATCCAGAGACCGAAATTTCCAAATAAATAGCAATTGAGGTTGCCGGTTTCATTCATTACAGTGAACCGCGAAAATCTAAAGTAGCGAGCGATGCCTCCGCGTCAGTGTCTCGGTGTGAGCTGTGGCCGACAGCAGCTCCTTATGCGCTCGACTGTTTATCAGCGTGTCCAAATCAATGAAAAAAAAAAATGGGAGCGAATCTCAGAATACGTGAAGCACAAACGGGGGTCATGAAGCTTTGTTTACCTGAAGACTCGCTCCACTGGCTCCCCGGACTGGTGCACGGTCTTAGGAGCGCCTTGATGTCACAACTGGCCTTGAAGGTCTGCGCGTCTCGCTCCAGTTGCTGGCAAATCTGAAAAAAAAAAGCAACATCGGAGTTGAGCATTTTTGCGCCGTTTTGTCTGTGGCCGGACGGTTTTTGGACCGACGCGGCCGATGGGGAAAAACATGCCCGCTACTGTCTGCTGCTTACCTCTACTATGTCGTATTCAAACTCTGGAGGACAATCATCGGTTGTGGAGGGGCGAGGAGAGAGACAGAAAGTGAGATTAGCATACGCTTTGATTTTTTTGAATGTTCTGCTCAAAGGTAGAACCAACATGAATAGTTAGAAAGGTGGAGGCACACGAGGAGAAGTAATAGCGACTCACCGGAGCTGCGCTCGGGTGAAACTTGGAATCTGTCTTCGAAGCTTCCGGACAAGTCGTTGCCCAGCCCAAATATCGGGATATCCGAAAAGGACCCCGCACTCCATGGCTCCGGGTCGTCCGTCCGATTCCTTGTCCGCTCGCCTTGCGAGTCCATGCACACGGTGCTGTCCACCACGTTCTCCTGAGGGGATGCCATGTCTTCGTCCAGCCGAGATGAGTCAGGCGGTGACTGGCTATCGCTGTAGTCGGTGTCCTCCGCCGTCATCCTGACCTGCGGGAAGGAGTTTGCGGTGAGATCCAAGCTGCCATGTTGTCGAAAGTCACGGCTAAAACTGCTGACTCCCGATAACTCGGACCCCTATTCTAGGGTTCAAAATCGGTGAGTGTATGTTCCTGTGAAAGTATCAACGGTACGAGGACTTTCCGATGAGGAGTGTGTGTGTGTGTGTGTGTGTGTGTGTGTGTGTGTGTGTGTGTGTGTGTGTGTGTGTGTGGTAAATGTCCGGGTGTGGTCAGGAATAAGTTAGTTGACTTATGGTTCATTTGGTCTCGGCTCAAAATGGTACCCGTATTTTTCTGGAACAGTATCAACGGTAGGAGGAGTCAGAGGGGAGATACTGATTGGCGTGTGGTGGGGAGGTTGTTGACTCATGGAAAATTTGGATCTTGGGTCGTAAAAAGTGCATCCAAATCAAGAGTAGACCAAGTCATTTGAAGACTGGGTCAAAACTGTGTCTGGAAGGCAACGGGGGACGGAGGGGGTGGGGGTCGCGGGGTCATGAGGAGACAGAGGTGGCATGTGGTAAATGTCCATGGTTAATTTGGACCTCGGGTCAAAAAGGTGTTGAAAAGCAGAATCCACCAAATAATCCTGGGATGTTCGAACCACTGTTTGTGCAAGGGTCATAAAATATGGCTGATAAAATCTTACCTGCTTTCTGGACTTTGCTTTGTCCCGTTTTACTGCAAGGGAACAACAAAAGAGTCGAGGTTAGGAATTTATGCTGAGTTGGAAACGAGATTGAGGTGACGGCGTCACTCGGACCCACCTCTCTGTTTCTGGGGCAGCATCCGGAAGACTCGCATGGCCAACTGGCCCTTGTTGACGCTCTTGTCTTTCACTTCCTCGATGTCCGGCAACGAGTTCATGGCGCAACGAAAGTTGGCCTTCCAGGTCTTGGGGTCGCAGGTGTCGCCCTTCACGTATTTCCCTGCGAAAGGGTTTTCACCCCCCTTCTCGTCAGGCTTCAAATTCCACGGTGCCAGTCGACATGTGGGCGCAGGTCTCGGCTCACCTGTGTGGATGGCCCACTCCTTGAACAGGCACGCGTCCTTGTCCATGTTCCAGCCGTGGCGAGCTGCGTGCTTCCAAGGAATGGAGAACATGGTCTTCTCCTGGAATAGAACACATTTAATCATGCCTATTTTTCATTTATTGTTTCTTTTCGTCAAGTTTTTTTTTTTTTTCTTCTGAGGATCACTGATCATGTTTTGGTAAATTCGCCTGATTTTGACGTCGGCAGCGTGGCTTCAGAATGCAGAGCGCCATCCATCCATCTGGTGGATGGTGGGACTAGTTGGTTGTCTCTAGTCCAGATTGCAATCTGCGTTT